TTCAGATGTGCTTTGCATATTTCCTGCCCTAAATAATTTCTTTCAGAAATCATGGCTTCTTTTAGAGAGAAATAATATCTCCAGATCACAATGGGGGCCCTAGTGGAGCTCATTTTGACGGGGTAAGCATTGTTTTTAGACATTAAAAAATGATTGGTTTTATTTTTTGTATACAAGCGTTTGCCTGCGTGAATGTAAGTGCACCATGTGTGTGCAGTGCCTTCAGGGTCCAGAGAGGGTGTTGGATCATCTGGACTTACAGATGTTTGTGAGCTACTGTGTAAGTGCTGGGAATCAAACCTGGGTCCTCTGGAAAAGCAGCCAGTGTTCTTAACTGCTGACCAACTCCCCAGCTCCCCCTCTTAGGCAGTTTTAATGAATGAAATTTAAAGCATGTTGGTGGCGGGGAGGTCTGGTACTGTGTAATAAATTACTTCAAGGTATAGCTTTTTATAACACTATTATCTCAAACTGTTTTTATGGGTCAAGAATCCCAGAGTGGCATACAAGAATGGTTTAAATTAGAATTTTTTGTGAGGCTGTGACCAGCCAGGCTGTAGTCAGGACTTGGTGGGACTGGAAGATTAGCCTTCTAATCCAAGCCAATTGGTGCCAGCTCTTTGCAGGACCTCATGGTCCTTCCCAAAAGGCATGGCAGCTGGCTTCCCCAAGAGAAAGTGATTCAAGAGAGCATGACAGAAGCCACAGTGATTTTGATGATAGTCTTGTCAATCACATGACGTTCTATGGCTTACATGAGTCAGAGGAGGAGATGGTGCTATAGAAGGGTGTGTATGACTGAGGAGAGTGTTACTGGTGACCATCCTTGAGGTTAGTTGGTATTTAAAGATAGAAAATAACTCTATTGGGTAGTTTTTATTGTCATCTTGATACAAGCAAGACGAAAGAGTCTCCATTGAGGAACTGCCCTGTGACCACATCTATAGGGAACTGTCTTGATTGTTGATTGATGAGGGAGGGCCCAGGCATGGTGGGTGTTAGCACCTCTGAGCAGGGAGTTTTGAGAGTAGGCTGAGCACAAGCCAGAGGGAGCAAACCAGAAAGCAGCATTCTTCCATGGTTTCTGCTTCAGTTTCTGCCTTGATTTTTCTCACTAACAGCTTGTGTGAGCCAAATAATCCCTTTCCTTTCTGTATTAACTCCTTTTCTATTACTACGATTAAAAACACCAAGACCAAGGCAACTTTTAGCAGGAAGGGTTTATTTGAGTTTATGGTCCCAGAGGAATAAGAATCCATCACTGTCACTTTGAAGGCATGTTGACTGGAGCAACGAGCTGAGAGCTCACACCCTCAGTGGCAAACACGGAGCAGAGAGCAAACTGGGAGTAGAATGAGACCTTAAAAGCTCTCAGAACCCATCCCACTTCCTCCATATTTCCTTCAGCAAGGCCACACCTCCAAAGCCTCCCCATACAGTGCCACCAACTAAGGACCAAGGGTTCAAATATCCGAGACTATGGGGGCCTCTATCACTCAAACTATGACACTTTCTACGTTGCTTTTGATCATGGTGTTATCATGGCAACGGAAAGCAAACGTGGACAGTGTACGCCATGTGATACTTCTGGTCATAGTATAGGGGCTTAGCTTCTAGTTTAGCTTACTTTCTACTGTATCAGAGATTCTTTCTTCCACAGTGAGAATTGTAGGAATGAGAATATCTCATAATTGCCCACTTATTTTACTATTAGTTCAGGTCTTTGGAGAAGGAAACATCAAGGCAGGGTTGAACATGCAATAGGTTTGGAAGGGAAACCTATGGGCCATGTAAAGGAAAGGAGACTAGAGTCACAGGGATACAAGGCAAATCTCACAATAGGAACTGGAAAAGGGAGGGGGCTGGGTAGGCAGAGCCTTGGAGCGTGGCTCAGTTCTTAGACTGTTTTTGTCCAAAGGGAGACTCTTTCAGCCAAGGCTACCTGTTATACAAGTCCTAAAGCCAACAGGAATAGCTCTGCAGTACCCCACTATTGTGGCATATTTAAAATGTGTTTCATTCAGCCAGGCGGTGGTGGCGTACGCCTTTAATCCCAGCACTCGGGAGGCAGAGCCAGGCGGATCTCTGTGAGTTCGAGGCCAGCCTGGGCTACCAAGTGAGTTCCAGGAGAGGCGCAAAGCTACACAGAGAAACCCTGTCTCGAAAAGCCAAAAAAAAAAAAAAAAAAAAATGTGTTTCATTCACTTATGCTGTGGAATATTTAATGATGCAAAAATGTGTTACATTCTTTTATGTTGCATTTGTTTAACTCTGTGAAGCTGTGTTACTTTGCCTGTGTAAAACACTTGATTGGTCTAAAAAAGAGCTGAATGACCAATAGCTGGGCAGGAGAGGAATAGGCGGGGCTGGCAGGCAGAGAGGATAAATAGGAGCAAGAAGAGAAGAAGGAGAAGTGGGAAAAGGAGGAGAGGAGGACACCAGGGGTCAGTCACACAGCCAGCCATGGAGTAAGAAGGAAAGAGAGGTATATAGACTAGAGAAACGTAAAAGCCCAGAGGCAAAAGGTAGATAGGATAATTTAAGAAAAGCTGGCTAGAAACAAGCCAAGCTAAGGCCAAGCATTTATAAGCAAGAATAAGTATTTGTGTATTTATTTGGGAGCTGGGCAGCAGGCCCCCAAAGATTAAAAAAAATAACAGACAACTACACCCTACTGTGCTCATTCACTGGCTGAGAGCAGCTCTGTGGGAAATGGGCTCTGTGCAGTGGTACCCTGATCGCAAATGGGAGGTAGATGCAGAAGATGCAAGTTAGGGCTGTCAGTCGATTATACCCCTGGAAAGTGGAGGTCAGAGGTACATTTCCCTGTAACCTACAACTTTGTTGTGATACACAATAGACTCTGACTGGTCATTTCAATATTACTACCAATATGGTCACTGTTGAGCTGGAACATTCTTCACATACTCACCTCATTGCCCACTTCTGTATCCACAGCATCAGAATATCGCAGTTCATGTTGTATCTGTTTCTTTTTCCTTCATTCAACATGCCCACATTTTATAAACCTTCTGTCAGGTTAAAATTACATATATCCATCATCTGCCCTTGTCATAGTCCATTAAACTGATTTCAGCGTATCGGTTCATATTTGAGAGACATTTAGAACAAAGCCTAGTCATTTACATACACTACTGTAAGTAAAAGGTGTAGCTTTGCCCCTGAGTTTGTTAACCAGCCGACCTATTGTTTGATGAGCTCCAGGCCACTGAGAGACCCTGTCTCAAAAAACAAGGTGCACAGTTCCTGAGGACAACACTTCATGTTGTCTTCTAGCCTCCACACATACATGTACATGTGTGCACTCTTGTCTGCTTCCCCATGAATATGCACACATACATACACATCAAGATCTATGACCCTGAGGTATCTGACTTCATCTGAGACTCCAGAGCCCAAAGTAGACAACCCAGAGTAGTGATAGCTCAGGAAGTAATGATGTGCCAATCCTCCCATGTTGGGGTAATTCACATCCTAGGATCCAACACGGGCCCAATGTGGATTTTTAAAGCTAAAATAGGAGACTTGGAGAACACGTCTTGGAGCAGGTTTTTGTTTTTGTTTTTGTTTTTTGTTTTGTTTTGCTTTGCTTTGCTTTTTGTTTGTTTGTTTTGCATCAGGAGAGTGCGGGGCCAAGGGCAAAGTGTGGGTTCAACCCTTCTGCTGTCAGAAATACTTCAGTGGCAGGCAGGAGAGATGGCTCAGAGGTTAAGAGCACTGGCTGCTCTTCCAGAGGTCCTGAGTTCAATTCCCAGCAACTACTTGGTGGCTCACAACCATCTATAATGAGATCTGGTGCCCTCTTCTGGTGCACAGGTGTACGTGCAGGCAGAACACGGTATACATAATAAATAAATACATTAAAAATAAAGAAAAGAAATACTTCAGTGGGAATGCTTAAGAAGCATTAATCTATATATAACTCAGGCATTGAGAGGAAATTTTCAGCTTTTAAAACATAATTTAAATAACAATAAGTGCCGATTCATAAAGAAGCAGAGTAATTGTTCCAGAAACACAGGGTTTCATCTGGGCTGTGTCTTTCCTCTCCTTCCCTATTCACAGCCCCCGAGTTGTCACAATACAAAATGGCTCTGTAAATTAGTTAAGTATACAGAGACAAATGCAGGCAAACGCACATGCGTGAGGAGAATCCAATTAAGATTCCCCAGATGAAGGCTCTCTGTGAGAACGTGACATAGAACCTTCTGATAACTCACCCATGATGAATGTGCACAAAGATTACAAAGGATTTCTTTGGCTTGCTATATGAGAACCTCTGATTACCCCTTCCCCGTCTCCTTCACCTTTACCACATCTCTGGAAGCATGATGTTGGCCTTGTAGACGCTAGTGGCCTGGGTTTTTTTGTGCTCACCAGGGAACTATAGTGACCACTGTATTACAGTTCTGGTGGGAAGGCAGGGCAATTCTCCATCTTGCAGAGAAATCCATGTGTGTGTCCGTGACTATTCCTGGTCCAAATCCTGTCTTGGCCTTAGATTTAAGGAGAGGGCTAAAAAGCAAATGGGTGGTTAGCTTTGCCTCCTGAATTCTCCTCTGGGCTATACTCTTCCCACTCAAACCAAACACCTCCCACCTGCCAAGAAAAAAAAATCTGGTGTTAAAATATAATCAGACTTGTAAAACAGAACATGGGGTGATTATTTTAATGACAAGATTTTTTTTTCCTTTTCCAAAAGGAGCATTTGCCAATGGATTCCTTTAAATAACCAATCCCTTGCATGTTTAAGGGAAGTCATGATTGACAACAGCATGACGCATAGTAGAGCTTTTTTTGGAAACACATCCCATACGTGTCATTTGGGTGGCCCTCCTGGATGAGGACAATGGCGATCCAAGAGAACCAAGGCTGCATTGAAACAGCATTTCTAGAACCAACGTGAAACGTAATGGTCTTTGAATGTCCAGCATCTGGCTCACATGATCTAAAGCTGTGTCTTTCGGTCTCTTCTGCAGTGAGTGCCTGCTCCATTGGATTTGTCCTACAGCTGTTTCCAGACATACAGAGCTACAAGTTAAGCTCCAGGAGTTGATTGCCTGGAATTAAGGCTCAGGTACAATACTTCCCAGTTCCATTACCTTGGAGAAGTTATGATTTCATCTTTTTCAGCCTCTGTTTTCTCATCAGGATAAGGGATTGACATGAGTGTCAAGTACGATAACTTATTAAATGTGATATCTAACACCCTGCCTGCCTGCTATACACTAAGTTATTAGCTGCTATTAATAGCTGCTAGATGGACAGGATGCCATCCCAATGCCCAGGAAATAGGAGAACAGATGTCTTGGTCTATTCTAATTACAGGATCCACAAACCAGGCAAAGACTCAATACACAGCTTCTAATTATCTAGTTAGCACGGAAGGACAATCTATATTAGATTAAATTCCAAGCAGCTACTTTCAGCCAATATATCCTTACATTTCAAATGTTCCAGTTTTCTACCATCCATCTAGCACACCTACAGGGTACAAAGGGCAGGAAGTTCTTCCAAGTGTCTCACAGTGGGGAATGTTTGTTAATTAAAATCAGAACATCTTTAAGTGAGATACCAGGAGGTTTTTTTTGGGGGCTTGGGACAAGTGGAAGGAACGGCTAAGTTCTGCTTTTTAACGAGGGCTTGGTTAAAATGATGTCTGCTGTAATACACAGCAGTGGTTCTCATTAGCAGCCCAGCTCTCACCCAAACCCTGCGAGAAATACAGATTCTCAGGTCCCACTCAGAGTGATCAGAGCGCAGTAGTTTGTGGTTGAAGAAACCCTCGGGAGCAATATTGATCTCTCATATGGATGGCACACCACCCACTCTGTTCCCAGCAGACATCACTAATGAGATCTCAAAACTCTTTTCCACACAGTGCCCAGAGTGCCCCGAGTCACCACACATCAATCTGATTTGCCATGGCCGGTCAGCAGTTATTGATGGAAGGTCTCAATGAAGCATTCCTTCAGTTTCTTTCATTTCCCCTGCAGAGAGATTATGGCCCTGCTTAAAGAGGGTGAGACCCTCAGGACAACAAAAAAACAGGTTGGTTTCTGAACCTGAACATCATCCCTGACATAGACAAGCCCAGTTGCCATAGCACATGAAATTGCCTTCAGAAATACAGGCATGAAGTCTGCAGGGCAGGCTCTAGCCAGCAAGCTCAATCTCAGTATAATTGCCATTCAAATCCTGTAAAACTAGCTAAATGCCCAACTGAGATAGCATGAAAGACTCCTGCCAGCTACCTATTCATCCCCTAGCTATTCCTATACGCCAATTGTTATAAAAAGCTAGATCCCATCAAATTTTACACTCTGTCACTGATTAACTTTACCCTTTCTGGTCTGTTCCTCTTTCTAAAATCAATCTATCCTTTGGGGGTGGGGATTTAAATGGAAGAAAGTACTCACACCCTTTCAGATGGACTGTTACCTGGGATGTGACACCAAGATTTGTACAGGACGTTAGGATATCGGCTCGTTTCCTGTTTCTTGTATTTCTCCATCTACTTCTTATTCTTGCCAGTGGTGGTGGATTCTTTGGTGTTGTTTTGGTTTGGAGACAGGATCTTGTGTAGCGTAGGCTGGCCTTCAACTTGCTGTGACCTTGAACTCCTCCTGCCTCCCTCTCCCAAATATTTGGATTACAGGTATGTGTCCGCATGCCCAGATTCCTTTTATATGAAATTTTAATCATCAACATTCAGTATAGATTGTTCTTAGAGCATGGGCTCAACCTACAATCATGTTTGTACTGTTTTTATGTTTTCACTATGTGTTGTGGTGTTTCATTATCTAATATCTGGAACGTATGAAAGTCTCTTATTTAAAAATAGGACCTGAAAAACAAGGGAACTTCCTTTATATTTACCCATATTGCCTAATACACCTAAGTTAACTTGTCCAAGCTTTCAACGAATGTGTTTATTTCCTCAATAGCTTTTCTGACAGATGGTCACTGCTATTAGCGACAGCAGCTGAGATCTCGGGACTTGAAATATTCAAAGCAATTCAGCACAAATTCATAACTAGTGTTGCTTGAGTCTCAGTGCATGCCGGGAGTTCTCAGCTAGGAAGAGGACTTATGCTAAAACTAGCTGGGACTGTACCTCAATCCAAGCTCCCCTCCAAAGCCAAGAAGTCTAAACTGGGGCCCTGGAAATGGGCCGGGCATCCGAGCAACAGGCAGTGTTAGTCCTTAGGGGTTACCACCGAACGCTAAGTCAAGCGCACCTGTTTAGATTTTACAAGCTATTACTGGAGTGCTGTCCAAAGAACGAAGCTGGCAGAAGCTAGGTGAGTGCATGGTTCTATCCGCGGGTGGAATGCAGTGCTCGTGGGACTCTGGAATGGAGACCAGCTGTCTGAAGGTAGAGTTGGCAGCTATGGTGGGATGGACATGACGCTGCCTGAAGACTAACTTAACTCCTAAGCAAATCAGACTTTGGGTCTAGGATAGAGATGCTCGATTCAGGCTCCACCATGACAGACACTGTCATGTGCCCTTCCAGCATCCTGGTTCTCTCTCCTCCTTGTTCTGGGAAGTCAACATGCCCAAGAGTGAGCCCTCAAATAACTAAGATGATTATAGCAGTCATGATCTCTGGCGTCTTACCTCCTCTGCAGTCATTGATGACATACGACCCAGCTATGACAACGAGGCAGAGCAGAAGCGCTTTGGGAAAACACTTTTTTTTTTTTTTTTCTGTTCAGGGTGCAGAACAGGCATAGTGCTTCATCCTTCCTCTACCTGCTTCGGATTTTGGAAGCAGTAGCAAAAGACTAACCGGAGCGCTGAAATCCCAGCTCTGTCGTCAGCGGTCCATGAAACTAATGTCAGAAGCCATGTATATCTGACTGTCACTACGTAAGAATTAGGATTCCTGTTCAAGCTCTGGATAGACCCTCCATCACTCACCGTGGAAAACATCCCTCGCTAATACCTCCGCCCACTTATAGATTTGGACATTTTTAATGGGTATCACGTTCAGAGAATAGAGCTGAGCATATGTGTGCAGAAGATCCAACAGACAGGCCACACTGCGATAGCATACACAAGAGCAGACTGACTGCGTGTTCTGATCAGATCCCATCGGAAGACTGCGCTTCTAGATGGGGATGAAGATTAGCTGGGCGAAGTTAAGACGTTGGAAACGGAAAGAGAAGAGGTTGAAGCAGTAGAGTTTTAGCAAGGAATGTTGGTCGATGGACAGTGTTCCTGCAGTGGGCTAAGGAATTCGTATACTCCATCCTTACTACTCTCGGTAGCAGTTTGGGGCTCCAGGCTGAATCATGGCTAACCCCAATCTGTGTTCTAGTTCCTAACTATATGACCTTGACAAAGCTCTTATACTACATCACTCCCTAATTTCCCCATCCCTAAGATGGAGATATTATGAGCACACACCTTGCAAATGTGTGTCAAAAATAAATTCAATAATCCACATAATGAATGTAACTCAGTATTAGATACACAGTGTGGTGGTTTGAATGAGAATGGCCCTCATAGGCTTATCTATTTAAATGCTTAGTCCTTACTTGGTGGACTGTTTAGGAAAGATTGGGAGGTGGGGCCTTTTGAAGGAGGTGTATAGCTAGAGTTTTCCTGCCTGGCCCACGGTCAGGGCAAATCTCTCTCACCCGCCAGTCCCACAGCCGCTCAGACCCGACCAAGTAAACACAGAGACTTATATTGGTTACAAACTGTATGGCCGTGGCAGGCTTCTTGCTAACTGTTCTTACAGCTTAAATTAATCCATTTCTATTAATCTATACCTTGCCACATGGCTCGTGGCTTACCAGCATCTTCACATGCTGTTTGTCATCGTGGCAGCTGGCAGTGTCTCTCTGACTCAGCCTTCCACTTCCCAGCTCTATTCTCCTCCTTGTCACGCTTATACTTCCTGCCTGGCCACTGGCCAATCAGTGACTTATTTATTGACCAATCAGCAACAGACTTGACATACAGACCATCTCACAGCAGAGGTGTGTCACTAGGGGTGTGCTTTGAGGCTTCAAAAGCCCACACCAGGCCCAATGTCTCTTCTCTAAGCTTCCATCTTACAGATAAGCCCTCAGCTCCTGCCAAAACCATGCCTGCCTGACTGCCACCATGCTTCCTCCCATGATGATCATGAACTAACCTTCTGAAACTAGAAGCAAGCTCCCAGTTAAACGTTTCCTTTGATGAGCTGCATTGATCATGGTGTCTCTCTCTCTTCATAGCAATAAAACAGTAACTAAGACACACAGTAAATATTCAATATAGGATAAAAATCAGTTGTGGTGGCACAAGCTTTTAATCCCAGCTCTTGGGAGGCAGAGACAGATAGAGTTCTGTGAGTTCAAGGCCAGCCTGGTCTACATAGTGAGTTCCAGGACAGCCAGGAGCTGCATAGAGAGACCCTGTCTCAAGAAAACATTAGTAAAGGAAATTTGTTTTATTTGAGAAGTAAGTACATGGACTCTAGCGTCAGAACACCTGGGTTCAAATCTTACATTCATGGTTTACTGACATATAACCTTAAGTGATTCTCAGCCTCCTTATCTGTCACATGGAGGTAGTGATACCACCAGCCTTAAATGACGGTTGTGACAATTCAATCAAATGGTGTCATAGAACACTCAGCACTGTTAAATGACAAATAAATACTGCCTCGTGCTATTTCGAGTTGTAGACTGAACACCATAAAGAATTATTTAAGGGCTGGAGAGATGGCTCAGAGGTTAAGAGCACTGTTTGTTCTTCCAAAGGTCCTGAGTTCAATTCCCAGCAACCACATGGTGGCTCACAACCATCTATAATGAGATCTGGTGCCCTCTTCTGGCCTGCAGGGATATGTGCAGACAGAACACTCTATACACAATAAATAAATAAATAAATCTTAAAAAAAAAAAGAATTATTTAAAACTTATTTTTTGTTATTTTGGTTTCTAAAGATCAAGTCAAGTACAAGTGCATGCACTATAGTTCCAGCTACCGGACAGGCTGGGACAAGAAGATCACTTCAGTCATGAGTTTGAGACCAGCCTAGATAGTGTAGAAAGAACCTGTTTCAAAAAGAAAAAGAAAAAAAGAAAAGAGATGGGGAGAATTATGATGCAAGAGGAGATGATTGGGGGATAACTGGCTGAGGATGGGAAGCACAGACACGCCACCACAGAGAAAGCTGAGGGACAGTAGGCGATGGGTAGAGTGGGGTTACTGAAGAGAATGGGGAGGGTAAGGGGAATTGCATTATATTCCATTTTTTAGGAGACTGCTTTATACATACTAGTTATTCTTCTTTTGCCTAGCTAACCTCACAATCCTAGAGCAAACCAAGAATTTTAACAATGCCATTTAAGAAAATTTACCATGTGGAATAGTTTTATCCCATGTTTCCTAATTGCTCATCTCAACAAATCTAGTAATATTTAAGGATTATCTGTACAACGCACAATTCAGATCATATCTAACCCAAGAAATATGTAAGAACAAAAAGTTAAAGGAACTGGTACCAGAAGTCACTTGGCTCTGCATGGCATATATAAATTATGAAGAATTACGACAAACAAGATATGTGCAGCGTGTAGTTGCTGTAATGGCTGTTTTTGTTTTGTTTTGTCTTTTTTTCTATGAAATGTAGTTTCTGTTTTTGGAAAGGAATCTATTCAGAGTTCTTTGAAACAAACAAAGAAATTTCTGTTTCTAGAATGAGAAAAAGTGGCTTCCAAGACATAAGTGTGAGACTGTCTAGACTTGTCGTCCTAAGTTGGCCATCATATGCTGCCAAGTTCATGGCCCCTCATCCCCCAAATACCCACAGTCATGGGCACTGGGCCAAGCTTTTTGAGGTCCCCTGGCTGTGTCCAGTTTCCATAGCAGGCTCATTATCAGCCAATGATGACCACAGAGTAGACGCTGAAAAAACCATGAACTGTCACCACATCCCGGCTTACATGTCCTGCCACCAGTCTGGAATCTGGTTCCTTGACATCTCTGTTTGGTCACAGTTTACACCCTCTATGTGCTGCCTTTCCCCACCACAGAGTCCCTTGTCCACCTCTCCCTTCTCTCCACTACAGCATCACTGTTGGGGACATACACCTTCCAAATGTTGGGTTCCTAGGGTCTCAACTTTTCAGGTCCCAGCTACCTTCTCTATTGTTTTTTCCCAGTATAACTTAGGTGTTCCCGATAAAGAAAGTGATGGGGCAGAGCCCACAGACCCATCAAAATGTGGAGTTCAGGGAATGACCTAGAGGTCAGTGACACTTCCCTTGGGGAGAAGCCCTCCAAAGTGACTCTAAAGCCTCTTCCCCACAGTCAAAGGCTGTATTATGCTTTTGTCTCATGAATCCAGTTGTCTGTTAAAATATGAGCATATTTTCTCAGACTCTCACTAGGAATCTCAAACCTGGAACTGTTGTGACATATCTGTCTACTAAACTAAGTGGCCTCGTGGCTCATGGCTCTGCTTCACGGGGAGGCAGCATCCTTACTGGAAGGCTCCTGAACCTGCAACATCATCTTCCATTTTCTCCCAGGAAGTTGAAGTGAGAGCACCCCACCTTTCCACTAAAATCCTAACACTGTTACAAAGGTAAGCTTTCTCTCATTTGTGATTGACAAGTTTTCTGAGAGTGGTAACCGCCTACTTGCTTGCTTGCCTGGAGTGATTTGGAATTTATCCCACTATTACTAAGCCCCAGCAACAACTTCTTAGCATGCACAACAGCTATTTCTCAAAGTTGCCCCTGACATTGACTTTTCCCTGTTAATGCCACAGCTCCATATCACAATTTATTTGCATGCCAGGTGCAGTTGGATAGACAGACATGAATTCTGAGCGGCTAGAGATTATTAGACAGTAGATTTTTAATCTTTTTTTTTTTTTTTTTAGTTTAAATTATTTTCCTGAAATTCATTCTCGATTTTACTAGTGTGTTGCTTTGGGGTACAAGTGTGGAAAGCTTGTGTATAAAAACTGTATCATTTACTGGTTTCCAGTATATACATATACAGTCCTCCAAACTGTGAACTTCTTAGTCTTGGGGGGATGTGTTGATTTCCCTAGTCATCTATTCTTTAGCAGATAGACAGTTGACCAATATGACCAATAGAATATGGATGAGGTATAATGTGTCAATTTCAGAGTTTATGCCTTGAGGGATGTAGCTTTCACTTCCTGTTGTCTCTGGAAGCCCTACCTTCCTTGTAAGTCCAGCAATCCCAAGACAGCCTGGCTAGAGAGGCTAGCCTGTAGCATGGCAGCATGCAGCCTTCTGTCCATCCCTGCTAAGATGTAGGCGTCTGATTGAATCCTCCAGACTATCAGCAAGATGCCTTTGGAGCAGGAGGTTTCCTTACCTAGGCTTCCTCACGAAATCACAGGTTACAACAGACGGTTATTTTAAGCCTCTGAGATTTGGAGTGATTTGTCACACACGATAAATAGAAAGAACAAAATCCTCGGGAGAGCGGTATCATGTACACCACTCTCCCACTCTATCCCCGGAGATCAGCTCGTACCTTAATAGCTATTCTCACTTTACTTGAGTGAGACGCTGCAGATGTGAGCAGGTTGGTTTGTTTGTTTGTTTTAATTATAGCTGGCAGCAGCTAAGAATGCTGTGGCTCATTTTGTGTGCTGTTGGGCAGCACAGACCAGAGGACCAGACCAACCTCAGGCCACAGAGCTTGCAAAGAGGATTGTTTTTAGCATTTATAACCTGAAGAGGATGAAACCTCTAATTCTTCCTTCTCATTACTACAGGGGGCCACCACAAGATAGAGGTATGTTGCTGATAGAATGGGCTTACATGGAAATGCAATATCACACATGGTGACTGCAGAAACACAAGATTAAATGAAAATTACAGGAGACAGATACATTCTCTTTCTTTCTCACCTTCATGGTAGAGCCAAAGATAGAGTGGCAAAAGAAAAGAAAGAAATACAGATGAGATGAAGACAGAGGATTCTGAGGAACAGAAAAGATTGGGAAGCAAAAATTAGCCATTCAGTATGCACTTAGAATTTTGAATGCAGGGACCCGGAAAAGATGGATTCCCCAAATAACTAACGAGCACAACTCAATAATAAAATAATGACAAAATAATGGTTTAATATGAAAATAATTGGGCAGGGTGTCAAGAAATCGCAATATCAGTCCTAACAACTGACAATCGATTGGACTTATTTTAAACGGTTTTCTCGTTGTAAAGTGAGATCTCTCTCTTTCTTCCAGGAAATCACCCGAGTTGATTTGCGGAAGGGACAGAAAAGTAGCTTAGGCAGGAGAGAAATAATCAACAGTCACCAAGTCATGCCATCTTTTGAGAAATTTAGAATAATCTTTCTCTTTAAAAGCAATCCCTTTTTAAAACGTTAAGCAAATCAGTCTGTTGCGCATGCACTGATTATCAAGTTTCTATACAAACAGCTAGCCCCTGAGAGATGGCTCAGCGGGTAAGGGTGCTTGCTCTTAAGCCAGATGGTCTGGGTTGGAGCACTGGGACCTGCATGACAGAAGGAGAGAGCTGACTCCAGCGGGTTGCCCTTTGACCTCCACATATGTCATGGCACATGTGTCTTCCCACGTCATGCACTCATACACAATAAAAATTAAATGGAAATCTCACAGATACTAATAAATGAATGTAATTTTTTTTAGTTGAAAAATCAAACAATCGCGGGTACATAGTGAAAGGGGAGTCGATGCACTAGCAAGATCCATGAACAGTAAAACCGTTTAAGAATTCAACATCTAAATGGATCCCGTTGCTTCTTAGACTGGAAATAATCTCATCCGAAGACTTAGGATGTGTGCCTAAGCGACTTTTCTTATTGTCGTTAACAAAATACCTGGTGAAACCAGCTTGAGAGAGGCAGGGTCTACCCTGGCTCACAGTGTGTGGATACAGTCCATTGTGGCAGGAAAGGGACAGTGGCGGGAGTGGCCAGCTGGTCACATGGCATCCTCAGTCAAGAAGCAGAGGGAAATGAACGATGGTGCTCATCTCTCTTTCTCCATTTCCCTTTCATTCGGTCTAAGGGCCCAGCCCATGGGTTCATGCCCCTAACTGTTCGGGTAGGTCTTCTCACCTCAAGCACCCCAAAAGAGAAACTCCCTCAGGGACACACCTACAGACTTGTCTTCTTTTGTGTTTTTGGAGCCCGTCAGGTTGATAGTCAATAGTAACCATCAAAATGTGTATGAGAACTTGGCCCGCTGCTGAGAGCGGCACGGAAGTTGTAGGCTGTCGGGGAGCCGAGGGAACAGGAAGTAGCCCTGAGTTAGTGGCCCTAGCTAAGAGCAGCTCTCCTGAGCAAGGGAAAGGACCCTCATAAACTAGTTGGTGGTTAGTTACAGTGTGCCCGCAAGCACACATCCAAAAGGGAAGTCATTCCTTCTCCTAATTAGTAGATACTGTTGGTAAAGACAATGTTATTTCTTGAGGTGTGCTAGGCAGAATTCCTGCAGCACAACTCCCGACAGGGCTTAATAAGGTCCAAACCTGAGACTCACCTCAGACTAAGTACATCCGATTCTCTGTACTGCCCAGGAGCCCGAATTTAAACAGGCACCCCGGTTGTGTCCCATGTACAACCGTAGCCCAAGGACGGCCATGCTTCCTCGAGCAGCATAGCTCTCTAAAACGTGCTGCCGCCGGTCCAACAGTTCCTTTGCTGTTTCTCCCTCTAAAAGTGTCTCCCTGCTCACCTGCTTCATGGCTCCTTCAATCTACCTCCAACGTCTTGATGTCTTTTCTGTGAATTCTAATTATGCTACTTTGTATGTGTCCTTCATGGTTCAATTCCACCCCTACCCTCTGACAACACCTTATCCCCTAGCTGTTTTATATAAGATGTATATGTATACCTATTTTAGGCAAGGTCTTACTGTGTAACCTTGCCTGGCCTGAAACTCACTATATAGACTAGGCTGGCCTTGGAACTTAAAGAAATCTGCCTGCTTCAGTCTCCTGGGTGCTGAGTTTAAAGGCATGCACTACCATGGCTGTATGTGTGTGTATGTGTGTTTGTGTGTGTGTGTGTGTGTGTGTGTGTGTGTGTGTGTGTGTGTGTGTGTGTGTTTAAGTAAATAAAATATAATATTTATACTTGAGACAGAGTCTCACTATGTAGTCCTGGCTAGCCTGGAACTCTCTTATGGAGACTAGTTTGGTTTTGAGTTCATAGAGATCCTTGTTTTTTGTTTTTAAAGTCAATGTTTGTTCTTCTTGTCTTCTAAGACAGAAGACAAAGTGAGTCCTAGAGCTCTGCGAGGCAGGAAGTCCTGAGGGGTACATGTTTTGTAGAGAGCACTGAATAGCCACCCCACCACCCCACAATTGCTTTGGGCTCCATTCCTTACACCTTAAGAAGCACTGATTTTATTAATCATCATTGATCATTTTCTGTTTTTTCCTTAGCACTAAAATTAAACGAGCCAGGTGGTGGCGGCTGAGGTACACGCCTTTAATCCCAGGACACAGGAGGCAGAGGCAGGTGGATCTTTGAGTTTGAGGCCAGCCTGGGCTACAGAGTGAGATCCAGGACAGCCATGGCTACACAGAGAAACCCTCTCTCGAAAAACAAAACTAACTAACTAAAATGAAATAAAGATAATTTTTTTTTATATTCTTAACTATATGACAATCTTAGAAATGGAAAGCTTGTTCTTTGTAATTCCTCCACCCTGTGTCTTTATTAGGGTCTTCCCTCCTTATTCCTTGGGAACTATCACCCTGTCTTCTCCCTACACCTTTGTCATGGCTCCTTCATGTCACGTTCTGGAACATGCCCCCAGACTTCTGGTGGCAGCTGCCTGGGCTGGAGGTGGGTGGGCACCTCATTTAAAGCTGGGAGAGTCGGCTCTTTTCCCTTCAGACATTTTGCAGACGTGGGAGATGTCATTTGGAATGGACCCAGGAAGTTTTCTCTCTGCATGGACCAGAGAGATGGAGGACACTGTCCTACAGCAAGAGGGAAGAATGGGGTGGAGACAGGTGCAGAGAGAGGCAGGTGGGTGAGTGGTGGAGATGTGTTCCTGATTCTCATTCCCTACCCAACATATATTCTGGAATTCAGGGTAAATTTTTGTTCTCTGCCTTTTAGAACCAAGTTCTTGTTTTGTGTAAAGTTAGTTCTAGTGGCCCCACAGATTCTGGAAGAACAAAGATGCTAAGGGGGTTGTGGACGGCTTCTAGGTAACCAGTCCAATCCACAGGGCCTAACAAAACACATACTATTTCTCTTAATTTAAAAACGTGTATCTAAGGTCCAGTGGTGCAGCATACGCCTTTAATATCCAGTACTTGAGAGGCAGAAGCTGGTGGATCTCTATGAATTGGAGGCCAGCCTGTTTCTCACAGTGAGTTCAAGGCCAGCTTGGGCTACATAGTACAACCCTGGTAGATAAAACCAAAGTACCTTAAAAAAACCCCAATATTACTACTACTACTACTACTACTACTGAAACAAACTTGGAGAGGTTAAGAAACTTTCCCCAAAGCCAGACAGCTACTAAGTCTAGAGGTAGAGGTGGGACTTGTGACCAGGCTAGACTGAATCCACTATGGTAACCCATCTGTTCACGGGTGGGATATACCTCTCTCTATTCTTGCTCCTATACTGTAGAGCCAGGCTATGAGCATCTGAATGAGTTCTGTAAGCCAGTCAAGCACCATGGAGCTGATGTTAGCTCATTGATGGGGCTGTATTTTGTGCTACCCTCTAGAGGCACTATGGAACAAATGAAGTGTAATTGGCCAGCAGGTCCACCTGGAAGCTGGACCTGGCTCTAAGAGGGGGCCACTGGGAGCAGCAGTCTTCAGGATTCCGTTGCCACAAAAGCTGATACAGGGTGGCCACACCAATGTAACAACTGAGATCTACTCAATCAATCATGGCTACCATTGAGAGCAGCAGGGCATGTGTGACATATCTACTCCCGAGTCTTCATTCCCTGGTCATCGTGCCAACATGAGCTGCGGTCATTCCTGGGGGCTTAAGGGATGAGGGTGGTGATGGAAGACAAGAGTGATGAGGGGAAGATCGCAATCTTATTACGAGAGTGGAAACTGGGATTGAGAAGGTAACTCAATGGGTAAGACTGCTTAGGACTTGAGTTTAAATCCCTAGCACACATATAAAAATCTAGGAATGGCCGGGCGGTGGTGGCGCACGCCTTTAATCCCAGCACTCGGGAGGCAGAGCCAGGCGGGCGGATCTCTGTGAGTTCGAGGCCAGCCTGGGCTACCAAGTGAGTTCCAGGAAAAGGCGCAAAGCTACACAGAGAAACCCTGTCTCGAAAAACCAAAAAAAAAAAAAAAAAATCTAGGAATGGCTAAATGTGCCAGCAGTGGACACCAGGGGATCACGAGAGCTCACTGGCCAGGGAGCCTAGCCTAAGCAGTGAGCTTCTGATTCTGTAAGAGACCCTACCTCGAGGCAATAAGGTGGAGAGCATTAGAGGAAGCCATCTGACATCCTCTTCTGGCCTCTGCATATGCATACATGGGCACCCATATGCACTGTAACACACACACAGAGAGAGAGAGAGAGAGAGAGAGAGAGAGAGAGAGAGAGAGAGAGAGAGAGAGAGGGGAAAAGAGAGACTTTCAGGAACTATGACCAAAAGTATACTCTCAGATTTTTTATTTTATTTTATTTTATTTTTTTTTCAAGACAGGGTTTCTCTGTGTAGCTTTGGTGTCTGTTCTGGATCTCTCTCTCTCTGTAGACCAGGCTGGCCTCAAACTCACAGAGACCCGCCTGGCTCTGTCTCCTGAGTGCTGGGATTCAAGGCATGCGCCACCACCGCCCGACTGACTCTCATATTTTTGACTAGGAACAAACAGACCCTAAGGAAGGTAACATATCAGCATACATTTTGTTTAAAGGAATGGGGTCTTAGCCTTCTAAAAATATGAAAAACAGAAAAATCAAATTTACTGATCTGAAATTACTCAGTTGGTTAAAGAGAAAATCAGAATTACAGTACAGAATTCAAGTCCTCCTTGAGGTCTTGAGATTTTCTTGCACTTCACTGGGTTCCCTCCTCGTGTGTGTGTGTGTGTGTGTGTGTGTGTGTGTGTGTGTGTGTGTGTGTGTGTGTATGTGTGTTATAGCACACACACATGGAAAGAAACAGTGTAAGATTGTATGTTGTGGATCTAGAGATACCGTGGACTGGTAGACCATATACTTAGCATGTGCAAGGCCCTGGGGTCAATCCTGAGTACTGAGGGAAAACAACGTGTCGTGGCCTTGCCCACTGCTCACACCCAAGTAGATGCCCTCATGGTCAACTCCCAGGTGTAATGAACAAGTAAATGAAATGAGACTTTATAATTGGTCAAAGACTTTGCGATGCCTGGGATGAGTGGGTGCTGAGCTGTCGTGTGGTTCTAAACATAGCTGAACTAGTGGCATGTTCACTCTTTCCTCTTTTCCCTTAAAAATAAGTGATGATGGTTCTTTGCTCCTGGGTGGGGGGGTGGGAGGGCTCAGGCAGAAACAATTACCATTTCCCATGCTCAGGAGTACACAGTCCCTCACAGTTGCTCTCTCCTTGGATGCGACCCGTGCAGGGGCAACTCCAGCGCCTCTACAGCTCTGGGCTCTTGTGAACATTGTCTCTATTGGCTGTCAATTGTTACAAGACAGATGGGCCTAGGAGGCCTCCGCTTGCTACTTCCACATCACGAGCAAGCCTCTTTTCATTTCCAGGCATTTAAGAAAAGACGGGGAAATAGAGAAACCTATCTTGACATCTTGTCTACCATGAAATCATGAAATCAGATGAAAGGGATAAAGGGATACAGGTTGGCTGGGAGGAGATTGCCAACCTTGAAGAGAATAAAGTTCTTTAGAACAGAGCAAAGAGAGCTCCCTGAGAGGAAATGTAACTGGAGAGATAAATAAGACACGGCCCAGAGATGCCTTCTTCTAAGCATAACTGGAACAGCATGTTCTGACGGCTACACAGAAATATGTGGAAGGATTGCTGGGCCAGAAGTTCCAGGCCTGCTGGGATTTTTATTGACTCCATGTTTGTAAGAAAATGATCTGGCTGAGCGGTGGTGGCGCACGCCTTTAATCCCAGCCCTCGAGAGGCAGAGCCAGGTGGATCTCTGTGAGTTCGAGGCCAGCCTGGTCTACAGAGCAAGATCCAAGATCCAGGACAGGCACCAAAGCTACACAGAAAAACCCTGTCTTGAAAAACAAAACAAACCAAATAAACAAAAAAAAAAAAAAAAAAAAAGAAAGAAAAGAAAATGATCTGAACGTAATAATGGCCCGAACAGCTTGATGTGACAAGGCTTTATAAGAAGGGAATGATACAGCAGGAAGAGAATTCGTGAGAGTGCTTTAAACGAAAGTGTTGGTTCGATGCAGTGTATTAGGAACTGGTGGCTGGTCTCACATTTACGACCCCTCCCCTCCCCATTCTGCTCCATCTCTGCATTTGTAAATCCCATGCCTTCCAGAGTCCTGTGCATCCTAAATGTAAGTTTGAGGACAATTCCATCTTGCCACAAATCTATCAGCAGCTCCTTAGTATACAGAAGATAAAGCCCAAGGTCTTTACCATATTGGCTCTTGGGGCTTGTCCTCATTCTCTCAAACTGACATCGGTGCCCAAGACCTGGCTTGCCTTCCTGCCCCTATTATCTTCAGGGCTCCAAAAGTTCCAGGAGGCTTCCTAGTAGCAAGGTGCTTTCTTCCTTCTCAAGAGGAAATCAAGCCCAGATAGACTGCCTCTCTACCAGGATGACAGCCCCAGTTCTGCTTTGCTGTTGAACGTCATTCATTCATTCATTTTCAGGCCTTGGGTGCTGCCCATATCATGATCTCTTCCTCCACGGTCAGGGCCAGCTGTGTCACATCTTCCACTGTCTCCACGATTCCATCTCCTCCAGTTCTGATTGTCCTCCCATTGCCTCTATAGAGAAGCTTGCGATTACACTGGCTCCCTTGCATGGTCCAGGATGAGGCCCTTTCTACTTCAAGATCATCAATGTAGTCACACCATCAAAGTTCCTTTTGCAGCGTCAGGTAGGATAACACTGATTCTGAGGCTCTTGGGAGCAGCTGATGCTGTTACCCTTTTCCTTTGTGTTAAATCAGAAGAGCTGGGAGCTGCGGCACATGCCTATAGTCTCAGGCACTTGAGAACCCGAGACTGGAAGATCCCTTGGCCATAGGAAGTCGAGGCCAGTCAGGCGACACAGTGTGAGACGCCAACTCAAACAAACGCAAAACAACCGCCAACAAAACAAACAAGTGAAAATAGAGCCTTCTTGGATTCTAATTCTATTTCTAGGTGTTGGAATCCAGCTGTGCATACAGATGTGCAGTTCCTGCCATCAGGCGCCTCACACTGTAGATAGGAGACAGGTGATAAGCCTCATTTAACTTACTTAACAGTTGACGAAGTCAGAAAGTCTCGTGACCACTTAGCACGCAGAGATTTTAAAAAGGTGTGCTGCTAGGGAGGAACCCAGGGCCGCACACCTGTACCTCACAAACACTGTACCAAGCTGCACTCCAACCCAATTTGGTGATCATTATCTTCAGCCTGGGAAGGTTACAAGAGTGTGAAAATGGTTCTCGCTCAGTAGGACCCCGGGCAGTGGGGGAAATGCATTGCTAAAATACTGCCTGAGCCAGAAAGGGAGAATGTCCGGAGAAGGCTCTAGCTTGTCTTTGCCTCTGTCCAAACTCTTGTTGTACCTCCCCATGGTTGAACCCAGCTGGAGTCCCCATGGAAAGGGAGATTGGGAAACATGGGGGTCTGATCTCCCGTAAGAAAACACAGAGGGGCTCCTGAGAGTGAACAGGCAAATGACCAACCTTTGTACAGACTACAGGAACTCAGGGACTGAGTCATGCAGGTGCTTGGGAAAAGAGCTTTCCTGGCAGAGTGGTCAACCCATGTGGGCCTGGAGGCAGAATACCTGATTTAAAGACAGCAGGTTGAGTGTGTAGGAAAAGATGAAGAGATCAGAGAATAGAGCTCACTTTCCATGCTTGTAGATTCCACATCCCCATGGATTCAGCCAACCATGGATAAAAGATATATTACACACACACACACACACACACACACACACACACGAGCTCACACACACAATCAGTGTCTCTACTAAATACATATAGGCTTTTTGTGTGTGAGGGGAGTCACTATTTCCTAGACAATTCTGTGTATCACCATTATGTATGTAAGAGGCCAATACTTGAAAGTGTTCTGGAGGATGTATATAGTTTATATGCAAATTCTGTGCCTTTTTTGTTTGTTTTTCGAGACAGGATTTCTCTGTGTAACAGCCTTGGCTGTCCTGAAACTTTCTTTGTAGATCAGGCTGGCCTCAAACTCACAGAAGTCTACCCGCCTCTACGTCCCAAGTGCTGGGATTAAAGGTGTGTGCCACCCCCACTTGGCATTTTGTGTGTGTGTGTGTGTGTGTATATATATATATATATATATATATGACTGAAACACTGGAGGGTTTGGGTGTTTATGTCAGGGGAACAGGAAGGTGGGTAGGTAGGTCCTAGACCAGGCACTCTTGTGTGCTGAAGGACAACCGAATTCAGTTCTCTAGGTTGGAATTTGAACTTGTATTTTAATATTATTATTTTATTCAAATTTCATGAGAATCGCTGTGAAGTTTCTGAGCAGCTAGGTGACATGATCTGACTTACACAAACTCCACACTCTACGTCAATCATGTTGATCAGATATTAGTTGCAGAGGGCAGAGTAGGTAAGCTATGTATGGAGACCAAGAGGGAGACTATTGTGACAACCAGGTGGGAAATGACTTGAAGCAGAGATGAAGTTTCCCTGGGTGGAGAGTGCTTGCACTCTGCACACATTTGGAAGGAAGGGCCAGCAGTATTTATTCGTGGTTTGGATGTGGGCTGTAAGAAAATGGAGAAGAATGCCTGTAAGAAGTTTGCTCTGGACTTCCGAAACTCTGGGAGGGCACCATTAATTGAGATGGGGATGATCGTAGCACACTTGTTTGGGGGGAATACCTACAGCATCTAGCCTTAGATGTGAGATATTTGTGTCTTGGGGGTGTTGAGTAGGATAGGGATGTACAGTCTGGAGTTTGGGGCACTGCTGGCTTGGGGGTGTAAAATGGTTATCAGTCAGTATCTCACAACCATCAGACTGCTAAGGTCACCAGGAAGTGAGAGGAGATCACAGAGAGAAGGCGTCCATGGAATCTACACTTCGGGGTTTGAGACTGAAAGGCTGAATGGTAGGACTCTCCATCCTGAGGTAAAAGAACAGGAAGAATTTTCAAAGGTGAGCCTGCTTGCCTTCATCCCTGCTACCAAGGGGTCCAGTTGGGTGAGGAAGCACAGGTTTTTCTGCTGTTTCTGAGAACACCTGCTTCCATAGCAGGTGAGAGGCTGCTCCTCGGGGCTGCAGGAGGATGGAAGGAAAGGGAGCGAGGGCAGCAAGGACTGAACAGACACCCTCTTCCCAAAGACGCTAGATGTGAAATGAGGCAAGGGCAGGTGTGGAATGTAGGAAATGTTTGATTTTCACCATGGCACAGATTATATAACCGAATGTCTGTAAATCATAGGAGAAAAGGCTTCAGGAGCTGGGGAGACGGCTCAGCGGATGAAGAGCTCGCTGCAGTTCCAATCCCAAGAACCTACACAGTAGTTAGCCTACATCTGCAATCCCAGTGCTCCTAGGGGAGGCAGAGGTGGGAGGGTCCTGGAAGCTCAAGGGCAGGGCAGCCTGGAGTATGTGGCACAGGAACAAACAACAAAGAGACCCTGCTTCCAACAAGGCGGAAGGTGGGGACCGACACCTAAGGCTGTCCTCTGAATTCTGTGCATGCCCAGTGAATGTGTGCATCGCCACTCATGTGCACACACAAAAAGAGGATGGTTCATTAGAGAGGGAAACTAGAGAGAGGACAGTCACTGAAATCGATGTCCCTCAGCTGAAGAGGATGGGACTAGCACACAGAGCAAGAGGTTAGTCTAAGCTAAGAGCTGAGAGGTTGCTCTAAGTGGCGGGAAGCGAAGAAGAGAGCCGGCATCCCGACTCAGGTAGACAGGTAGACAGAGAACACAGGCACATAAGGCAGGCAGAGTGCCCTGGCAGAGGGCGTGTTCAGTCCTTTCCTGCTTGCCTGGGTCCACGGATGAAAGGAGTCAGGGCACATGCAGTGAGTAGCCCACAGTGGCTTGATGGAGGAGAAGGTGTGGCGTGACACAGTCTTTATAGGGTAAGAGGGTGGAGGGGAAGCACAGTGGCTCCTCTGTAATTCAACATGGGAAGCTAATTGATTAGAAAGCACGTGGTGTTTTGGACGTATAATGAGCACTGTTCTGTAGCTGGGAGAATAAGGAATCCCATATTAAGGCAGGTTTAAACTCCAGGGGGCCAAAGCAACAAAAGCCTCACTTTTAACCAACACTGGAGTTTGGAATCCAACACCCTTCACCAGGGCCTCATAAAGAGCACCGAAGAAAGTCAACAGATTTGGCTCATACTTGGGTCACTTGTTCCAAAGGGCTCTCTGGGAGTCATAAAACAGGTGGCCTGGAGAACAGGACTGTGCTGGCCAGCCATTTTTTAAGGGCAAAACTATGTTACATTCATGAAGGAGAACTGATTTATACGATCCAGTAATCTGATGAAGGTTTGAGCCTTAAAACAGATCCATGGACCGATGGTGGAGTGCGATGAATTGGTGGGTAAAGGGACCTCTCAACCAAGCCTGAGGGTTTGAGTTCAATTTCCAGAATCTACAGGGTTGAAGGAGAGAGCTGACTCCTACAGGTTGTCCTCAGACCTCCACATGTGTGCTACGGCACATACACACGCCCACACACGTATGTGTGCATGCATAAGAAAATAAACAAAAATGTTTTAAAGAGATAGTTCAGTTCCTGAGAAGCTGTGAACCCAATGCCCATCCTGTCTCCCTTCTGTAGCTGGAAGCTTCCTGGTCAGGGAACCAAGAAGAGAGAGATGGTTCAGTGACTAAGAGCACTGACTGATGTTCCAGAGCACTTGGGTTCAATTCTCAGCGTCTACATGAATGCACCTAGCCAATCGTGCCCAGAAGCCACCATGTGATTACTGGGAATTGAACTCAGGACCTCTAGAAGAGCAGCCAGTGCTCTTAACCTCTGACCCTTCTCTCTTTCTTTCTTACAGCTGTCTGGTTGTAAGTTTGCATTCACTCACGTTTGTCTTTTACTTGGATTGACATGTTTATTAAACAACAAGGAGCCTGTTCTGAGTGTAAAAAAACGAACCACCAATAATGCATACCCTTTAAAATTGCTATTACAGGGCCTATAGTTTTGTTGTTTTTGTTGTTGAGACAAAAGACAGCTTCAATATAAAATTATCAACATGTAGCTAAAACATAGTGAAAATGACCTACTATAAAATGAAACCTTCACTTGCTTTTTTATAGTTCAATATAAAAGGGAAATATCTGTCATTTATTGGAAACTTTTATAGGTCTGAGTGCTACAGAATTTTAAAGCTGTAATAACTTAACATGTGGGCCACCTCTCGATTTTTACAGATATAGTATAAGACACAGTAAATTCCTCAAAGAGTCTCAATTATTAGCGGCACAGAACTCAAGCCCCACTTTCATTGAAGTTTCTAATATAAAAACTTTCAGGCAGGGATGACCCATCAGGGAGAGGGTTTTTCAAGGCTGGTGACCTGAGTTTGATCCCCAAAGCCCACATAAAAGTGGAAGGAGAGAACCGAAGAGAACCGACTCCACAAAATGCTCTCACCTCCACACTCTTGTCCTGCCAGGCACCTCCTTCTCCCATCACACACACACACACACACACACACACACACACACACACACACACACACAAACACACGAGGCCATCGCCATAGGTAATCTAAAAGCCTTAACTGTTTAGTCTTTACATACTTAGGTTCATTCTTTAGGTTTCTAGATGTATGGGATTAACAGTTTCCCCATATTGATGTTTAGGGATGAATTCTCTTTTTTCATAGTGTAAGTTCTGTTATATATAATGAAATTTATATTTATTCATCTTTGTTGGCATCAAAACTTCATGCTTAACTTCTGTCAACCGCAGCATATTACTTAGGCAGTAATACACAATCACCACAGAAAAGTTTCTCCCATTTAGACACAGAATGAGATTTCAATCAATAGCTGTTTGAACTTCTTTATTTTATGTATATGGATATTTTGCCTTGCATGTGTGTCTGTGCTCCATGTGATATGCCTGGTGTCCTTGGAGGGTGTCAGATCCCCTGGAACTGGAGTTATGAATGGTTGTTGGCCCACCACATGGGTGCTGGAAATTGAACTCCAGTCCCCTCGAAGAGCAGCCAGTGCTCTGAACCACTGAACCATCTCTCCAGCCCCTCAATATCATTTTGGAATTAGGTATAAAGACATAGTTTGAGGATTCGTAATTGCTATTATTATTATTATTTTTAGTTTTGTCTCCTGCCCTCCCCTATGGTGAACAAGGTTTTTATGAGACAATGAGAAAAGAGATTGTAACCACAGAAAAAGACAAGATTTGAGCAGAAATGGGAGAAGTTTAGCAGAGAAAAAAACTTGACTATAGTGCAGAATCGGACGTATTAATTCCAGGGACTATTCAGGGTTAGGCGAAGTAAAGGTACTGCAGGCACACAAGGACCATTACCTTCATTAAAAACAAACAAACAAACAAAAAAAAAAAAACCAGACACAAAATACCTACTAGGCAAAAAGCCTGCAGAGGCGTTGAGAATACCAACGTAAGTGAGCCATGTGCTGAAGGAGCTGTCTCGTGGGGGCGTTAGGATGCGGAAAGGAAGGCATCTTGCGGGGGCTGGGGAATGAGACTTTTACGCAGGAAGGCTGATCAACGGAGTACATGGTGGGCACTCCGAAGTAGAGAGATGTCCTGGCTTCGAGAGTCCCAGAACCCCTCCGGCCAAAAGCACCCAGCTCCGCGGCGGGCGCAGGTCTACGGAAGCCTCCAGCCTCCCCGTCCCCACTGCTAGCTAGGCCCGGGGCAGCGGAGGAGGCAGGTGAAAACAGCACCCGGCGGCGGTCGAGTCGTCATGGCAACCAGAAGTTCCGCGGTCCTCACTACCCGGCTTCCACTTCCCCCCCCCCCCGGCCGGAGCTGGGCTCAAGTCTCGCGAGACTTGCCGGAGCGCAGAACCCAGCCGCGGTGATCTCACCCGAGACTGAAGGAGGGAGGAGAGGAGAGGAGAGGAGGGAGGGAAGGAAGGGATGGGGCGGGGAGAAGGGCCAGTGCAGCGCCGCCACCGCCGGCAACTTTGTGAGCGAGTTCAGTACGTGCGTGAGCGAGTGAGCGGAAAGTCAGTGCGGCGCCGAGTCCCGCGGGGGAGGGTCGAGGGGGGCGGGTGGGTGGGTGGGCCTCGGAGGCCGCCCGCAGCGCACCCATCGCCGCCGTCCCGGGCTCCCTTCCCGCGTCGTCCCTGCGCTGGTCCTCCGGCCCCCGTGGGCAGTTACCTGTCCCCTCCCCCGCGGCCACTCAACTCCCCCCCCCCCCCCCCTCCAACACCGCGCCCAGCGCGGAGCTCCGTAGCCGGGACGCTCCCTGGGCGCCCGCGCGCTCGTCGTTCCCGGGAACCGGCGGGCGGGCGGGCGGGATGGGGGGCTCGAGGGCGCGAGCTGCGGCCCGGGCGCCTGCACACTAGTGGATGCCCGGGGACTGGTCCCTGTGGCCCCCGCGGCGCCCGCAGCCCGGCCGCTGCGGGTCGTCCGTCCTCGGAGCCCGGCCTGGGGGAGCCGCGCTGATCCCGCCCCCCGCGGCCCCTACGCCCGGCGCTCGGATCTCCGCAGAGGAGGCGGCGGCGGCGGCGAGCGAGCGAGCGAGCGAGCGCGCCCCGACCGTCTGCACGCTTTCTCTTTTCTCCCCAGGGAGAGCGCGCGGACGACGCGCCCCGGACGCGCGGCAGCACCGGGAAGCCCAGGCCAAGCGGTAAGTGGCCCGGGGGGCAGGGCTGTGAGTGTGTGTGGTGGGGAGGGGGCGGGGCGGCACTCCTGACAGTTCCCTGTGCTGTCCCTGGCCGGGCATTCTCGGCCCCGGAGCGGGACGCTCACAGCCGCTGAAAGTTTGATTTCCGATTTGGTGGCGTGCTGGGGATCGCGATCCCGGCGGGGGCGAGTCTGCGCTCCACCGCGCCCGGCGCGCGCGCACGTTCTCACCTCGGGATCCGGATCTGCTCCCCTAGAGGCCCTGAGCCCCGTGTCCCCCGCTTGGTGGCTGTGCTCACCCTGCGGTTTTGGGCTCCTCGGAGCGACTCTTCCCCATCCGTCACCCGGTGAGCGCTTTGCAGGTGTGCTGGAGGGAGCAAGGCCCCGTTTGGCTAATGGTGGGTTAGGGAGACCTTCGGCTGCAGTCTTGAGGGTGTTCATTTCCCTCTTGGGGGACCCTGGGGACTGGGATCCGAGGATGCTCCAACCTGCGTTTCTTGGAGGAAGCAAACCTCCCGAGGGTCGAGAGGCGTAAGGGTGCTGCATAAAGAACTTCTCTCTTTGCCCTGTCCAACTTCGCTCCTGACCTTAAAGGCAACTTGCCAGGATCGTAAATCGCTCCGTGGCATTTCGACGTGGGCAAGCAGTCGTGTTGGGCAGGTTGAAATTTCATCGGGGCTCACCGCGTCCAAAATCAGAGGCACGGGAAATAGCTTTCAAGGGAGGTGTTGTGCTGGATTGTTGGCATTCCTCTTGGAAGGGGAAGCATTTGGGGATGGGTAGCTTCTAGACTGCCTTGGGGCTTTGTAGATTTGATTTTTCCTGACGTCTAGTTGAGAGGCGGCCTTCACTGAAATTCATACTACCTGGTACACGATTATATTTCTAAACTCGAGCCAGTGATGCGATGCAAATTTCAGAGGGAGGTGTCGGCTTTCATCAGGTTCCAGGTCTATCTGGATGAACTGGGGTTGGCGTTTCCTCTATAAAGCGAGCCTTTCATGTTGAAACTCTGACTCAGACTCTTAAAGCCATTCTTTTTTATACTGGTACGCAGTGGGAGTTCAGTGTCAACTTTCTCCTGGCTTCTCGAATGGAGTATCTTCCAGTGCAAAGGTTCTCTGGCTGAATGTGTTGGACATCCACAACATAAAGTCTTAACTGAATTGCTCCTGCAACCTCGTTTAGGGACAGGAATGATTTTCTGTATCTTGGTTTAATGACTCTCCCACATCCCCTTTTTCTTTCCCTGAAAGCTGCAATTAAGATACCTTTACTAGGATGGAAAAAAAAAACCTGATAGGATTATGCAGAGCAGTTAAAAGGTTTAAGTAAAGCAGTTTATGGTCACTGATGTGTCCAACTATGAGGTGACAGCCCAGTTATTAACTAGAATATTATTACTAAAGCATTTTCCCATGAAATACGTTATTGACACTAAGGCATTAACAATAGTGTTTTAAAATGACTTGGGTGATGGTGTGAACATAAATGGTTGGGGCAAAATAAGACGTTTGGAGTGCTGACTTCCTTCTCTGTCACTGAAGGCTTTTTTTTCTTACCTCACTAAAGGACTCCCGAAACTGACTATCATTAATTAGAGTTCTCCAGTCAACCAAGAAAGAGAGAATGGGTTTAGCACACGGCCAGAGACAGTCGTAGGTGTTAGCTGCTCTGCAGTCCCGGGGCCTGCTCCTTGAGTTGGGCGTCATGGTCCTGGGGCCCTGAATGTTCAGATTTAGTCAAGCTGTGACTCCATGTCAAGGTTCTACGGAAGGTTGACCTGGACTCTTGGAAGTAAGTCATCCTCGCGTCACTAAAATGACATCCTGAGATTAGTTTAACTCTTCCTTTGACTCACATTTTCAGTGGTATTTCCTGGCTTTTATATTTATTTCATGTTTGCTTTGAATTACGTGTGTAGTAGTGGTGTAGTCTTCTTGCTTGATTTTTTTTTTTTTAAGCAACTTTTTAAAGAGCTTCCTAATAACTGTTAACATTCTGTAGATTGAGGATGGCTTGAGATTAGCAGTTGTATAAGCTCTGGGATCTTGGTTGAGTTAAGGTGTGCATGTGTTGTATTTTCAGTTGCAGTTTGAATTTTTAAATCAATGACTTTTTAAATGATCTCTTAGAGCCCAGACAGTAGCAGTATAAGTGGCACCAAACTCTGAGATCAAATTCTTGGCTAACTTAGTGGAAGGTTTATGTGGTGAATGATAAGGCTTGGTGCCTCTTGTTTATCTGTATTTTTGCTATCAAAGGTCCAGCCATTGCACAAATGGTATGGCTATCACGAAGGTTTTCAGGTTACTTCTTAGATTGGAGCATTTTGGTTCACTGGCCAGATTGGATTTTTGCTGAGGAAGACAAATAGCAACTCCCCCCACCCCCTAAGGGCGTGAACTCTGATGGAGCAAGCTTCTTTGTTTTGTTCCTCATAACAGAAGCTGAATGTCAGAATATGAAAAATAAATTGTCCTGTAATTTCCCTTCATTTGTAACCTTTTGAGCCCTGCCAGGCAAGTGGTATTTGCTGAGTGCCGCCATCGGTGAAGTGTTTCTCTTGGTTTCTGTGACTCCAGTGGTGGGCATGATCATTCTTGGCCTGGGAACTGTTGGTCTCCGGGATCATGGGTCCTCCCATAGCTTAGTGTATGAAGATACCCCCGGGTCCAAGGTTTTGCACATGAGGCAGTTTTGATTTTTCAACTTATTTAAAAGGTTTGAAATACTTGTCTTCAGAAGGTGGTGTGGCTTTCAAATATCTGCTCTGCCACTCTCTGGCTGGGGTGGTCTTAAAAAATAGCTGAAGCCCTGGTTCCGAGCTCCCTGTCTTGTGCTGCAGCTGGAGCTCACAGTTGGGTGGCAGCTTTGCTACAGTACTCTCCCAGAATGTGTGTATAAAAATACTTTGTAACTAAAGTCTCATTTGCAATTGCATTTTCCTACCCTGTGATGAGCAGATTCATGGGTGGCTGGAGGGAGGTGGAGCATAATTCCTTTGGTCCAGTCTTCCCACTTTGCAAGTGAGGAGCTCCAAGCCCAGGGAGTGGACATGATTTGTAGGTTATAAAACTAGATAGAGCCAGATTCAGGGCAAGTGGCCTTCCTGCTTTAAACATGCTCCTCTCTTTCACTTTTGTTCTTTTTCTACTGTGCTGAAGTTTGTTTCCTCTTCTTCCTCATAGTTAAGTACTCCGTGATTATTAAATACTAAGTAAGGGAGAAGCAGAACTGAAGGAAATAATAGCTACATTTAGTTTGGAAAGCTCTGAAGGTGGCATCGATGTCCTGTTTGGTACCTGAGCTTTGGAGTTGCTCAGATAGCTTAGTTATGGAAAAAGGAATCCTTAGTTAAAGTTTCTGCTCGGTGGAGCATGGAGGCTTTATTATTATTATTTTCTAAAGATACCTTTATCATCTGGTGTCCTGGTGCTCTTTAGAAAAGTCAAACTTTCTTGTTGTCCATCTTTTCTCTAAGTTTATTTGCAAAAGAAAGGAGTAGCCCTTGCCTTGTTTCTGGAACAATGGCAACTTGTGGTTTGTCCATTAGCTCTGTGGAAGGGTTGCATGGGGTGTGTGTCGGGGTGAGGGGCAGTCGGGTGGAGGATTGCAGACTTGCAGATGCAGCAGGAGCTGGTTGTTGGAGCCCTTTCTGGGCAACCCAGCGGGTTTGGGTAGGACCGTCTACCCCCTGGTGTGATCTGAGTCTGGAGAGAAGAAACATCCTTGCTGGCTGAAGATGACATTTAGGAGTGGGGCCGCCCCGCCCTGAGGTGGAGGGGGAAAGCGTAACTTCATTGCAGGATTCACGAAGAGGTTGTGTGCTGTATCTCTGAAGATTGACAGCCCAGCCCAGGCAAATCACTTCTGCTTTTTGCACGCTGGGAATGGGCCTCATGGTCTTTTTGCTTTCAGGTGTATGCCTTGATAATTAAAAACAAAACATTCTTGCATGGCACTTTGCTTTTCAGACGTACATTTAAGTTGATTATGCCTGATAGCTCATTTTTTTTGGATGCACTTTTGATGAGATCTGGTATGTGAGCCATGGGAAGGTGGGAACAATTCCCCTGGC